CAGACAAGGTGACTAGTAAAGCAGAGACTTGGGTGGACCATATTCACGATTCTGTTGGAATACACCATCACCTGAAAAGAACCCTAGGATTGATTTTCCAGAAGGGAAACTGGTGTCCAACTGCAATGATGTTAGAGAGTATAGATTACCTGGTGTTCATGGTGCTAAAGAAAGTTGGGATGGCTTCTTGGCCTTCTTCCCAGTGGGATTCTGGGGAATTTGCTTCAGGCTGTGCCAAGTCGCTGCCATGATTTCCCAGGCTCTCCCCTCCCTCTTCCTTCATTATTTCACCTTGGACTTCAAAGTAGAAGATACTTATCACCAATCTATTATTACTAACCTATTATTTATTTATCATGAAAATTAATACATATTCATTGGTGAACATTTCTAGAACACAGAAAAATACACAGAAATAAAAATCCGTGAAATACTGCACACATACACCTATCTACTATACATACGAACAAATAGGGTTTTCACTGAACAGCGTATCAAAAAATATTTTCATTATCATTCCATACTCTTCAAAACATGATTCTAATGACCATGTAATATTGCAGCACGCTCATGCGGATGGCGCTGAGGTGGTTTCTAAAATTTTAGTATTGGAAAGAGTCGACCCTCATTGCTAGTGTATTCTGTATTTGTGAATGTGCCTACTTGCTCAAGTTTATTTGTAATCCTGAAATCAATGCTGGCAGAGCTTTTGCAGTCATTTCTGGACATGCGCAGAGTGGTGAAAACTTTGAGTCACCTGACATACACGTTCCAGCTAAGGCGGAACAAGGTGATGCTCTGCCTTCTTACATCAGCTCTCATACTGTACACAAGTGTGCTTATTCAGTGCCAAGGCTCTGGACTTTTTGACATTGAAAGGGCCCCCAAGGTCAGTGCTGCCCAGTATTCCTGAGCACGAGAAGGCTGAGATGTGCCTTATGGGGAAAATCCACGTGTTAGACAAGCTTGGTTTGGGCACAATTATAGAGCTGTTGGCCATGGGTTCTATGTTAATGAATCAACAGTATATATTAAATAAGGTGTCTTTACATAGAAACACATAAAACAAATTATGTATTGATCAGTTGACAAAAACATTGTGAGCAGAGACTCGCAGGAACCTCACTGTGTATTCCCCTAGGAGCAATGGTTCAGTATTTGCTAATTCAGTGTCTGCAGTGACTCTATAGAACATAACCACCATGAATAATGAGAATCAGCTGTAATGTCATAAAAACATCCCTGTCCACAGAGATTTGTCCTTAAATCCGACTAATCCCTATGGACCAATTCCTAAAAGTATTGGGTCAAATAACAGTACTGTTTTGATAAAAACTCTCCTGTCTTTATCATTTACTCAAGGGACAAGACTTCAGTCATGTGTGGGTTGCTTGCCTCATAGTAACAGTTATGAAAATACTCCAGCTCATCTGGGAAAACAGGGTCTCTTGTTTCAAAGGAGACAAGGGGGAAATTTTTTCAAAATTTTATTTTCAAAATATTTACTAAATCCTTATAACACAATTAAAAGCTCTAAAACAGTTGTCTTAGACTCATGTGAAGTTGTTTTTAGCGGTCAGAGCCATTGGAATCAGCCAATTTGAAAGGGCAGGGGCTTTGGCTGGATGAACATGAGAAGGTCAGATAAAATCCTGATGGTGGTGGGTAAGTTCTAACATTCACAGCCCCCATGAGAAGCCAGAAGGGTGGAAAGCTAAACTGCCATAACTTCACACACTCTGAGGCCTGACACCATTGTCTAAGTTCAAAGGACTTGGAGATTCCAGGTAGAAGGCCAGTAGAGACTCATGCTCTGAAAAGTCAGCACAGACAGCTACTGCAGCCCATGGACATTACAGCTCAGACCAGTCAGAGGGAAAACTGCCTCCTTATTCTGTCCTTTCAACACTGGGTCAGATGAGATGGCAGAACATGGTTGAGTGACCTGGTCTGGACCTCACACACCTGCTACAGGAGTTACCTAGCATGCTGTGTTGAGGTCAATCCCTAACAAGTGTCACATCACAGATAATAATCAAACCCCCAAGATCCTATTGCTCAATGGTTTGCTTCAGACTATTTTTGTTTTTACCTGTGATATTATCATCTGCATTTTCTTCACTTGATATGCTGCAATCTATCTCTGCAGATTTCAGATATAAGGAGCTCTTGTTTTTCAATTCGATTTCATCATCATTTATTTCCATATTTAAAGATCCATTTTCACAATTGCTTAACTCCGTTTGCCTAGAAATTTTTTAAAAGGGAAAAAAGCCAGAAGGTCCAATTATTTGGTCATGAATAGACTGCCCACGTAGGTCTTATTCTGAGGAATGGGGGAAGGGTTCACAATCACCACCTTTTAACATCAATTAAAAAACAGAATTGCTAAATCCAGTCAAATCCCTTACCCTCCTGCCTCCAAGGCAGGTACCTGCCTGTGATGGGACCAGGCCTGTCTCTAGGCTGAAGGTCAGAAATCAAAGAGCCATTCACGCCTCTTTGTACACCCTCAGCTGACTCAAACTTCCTGCTCCCCACAAGCAACAGGAAACAGTCACTGAGAGCTCTTTGGTTTTCAATCATCTGCCTACAGGCACCACAATTAACACTGTTCTCACTTTCCTCAGATTTTCCCTGGGAGTTTTTCTCTCTCCTCAGCTCTCAAAACCACTAACCACACCCATAGGTTTGTCTAGTAGCTGACTGTCTAGAAGCCACATGCCATGGTAAGGAGAATACAGCCTGCAAAGTGTGTCTGACAGAAAACCCCAGAGGCCAGGCTACATCCTGGGAAATTACTTACTCTTTGGGGAAACAGAAAAGGCAGTTTTCCATATAAGTGGAACAGCTGATTCTGTTCACGGGCCTATCATAATATCTTATTATAAGAAAGCAGAACTAGCCAAAATAGCACAAATATATTTTCTTCTAATAAAAATAAAGGGAAGGAGTGCAAACTACATGGCAACGCCAAGAAAAGCTTTTATGTTCTAAAGAAATACCATATTTCAACTTTGCAATGAAAAATGTAGGAGTATATTGAGGAACTACCTCAAAAGGAAAAAAAAAACCTATAAAGATGTTCATAATAGAAATATTTAGGACAGGAAAATATTGTTAACGAAATTGGGAACAATTTTTGTACCAAAAAAGCAAACAATAGTATATAAAGAGATGAAATATTAAAAAATAAATTTAGAGGACAAATAAACGGACTATGTCAAAATATGGGACTTCTTATATTAAATAATTACTGACTAAAGACACCAAATTATTGGAACACAACTATGAAAATGTGTCCTTTATTTATATCAAAGGTGCCTTTAGAGGAAGAAATAATTTAGATTTTGATATTAAGGTTTTTTTCTAACCGTAAAGCTACCTAAGATTTTTATTTTTATATAAAACAAAATAGCACTGTCTTCTCTAGATAAAAGCGTACTTAGATCAATGCTCAGCTCCGCCACAGATTACTAGATGTTTTAGGGGAGATCTGTGGCCTAGGGGAGATGCAAACACCTTCCCGAGTAGTCACTGAGGAATAGAACTGAGGAATAGGAGATCTGCACTGAATCAGGCTCACCCAAAAGAGGAACATTAGACACTGTTTCCTTCTGGTATCATCTCAAATCATGAGGCAAACCACCACTCGCTCAAAACAGTCTTCCTAAAAAGACTTTTTTTTTTAAAGAAAGAAGAAAAAACAAAGTTACTGTACCTTTCCAATGAATTATGAATCGGTACAACAGGATGTTTCATCTTTAAAAGAAGCAAAGAAATAAAAGTTTACATGTTAAACTCCCAACAGAGCATATGCAGCGTTTTATCACATATGGGACTGGTAAAGAGGGCCATAACATATACACTGCCCCAGGGTTCAATTTTAGAACAATTGTAGGTCCTCCCCAAAGAAGGGAGTCACTGATCCCAACTCTCCCTTTGTATATATTCAAATAAGCGTACTCAAATTTCTAAGGCAAAGGAAGATGGTCTGTTGAAGGACCTAATTATCGCAGCTAAACCCTTGTTGGTTGGCTTTCTTATAATTTCAGTTATGCTCATTCAACATTAATAAATACCAAACTATGATGCAGCATTGGATCCAATACTGGAAATATAAGGGTAAACAGTATGGGGTTCCTGCTCTCAAGGTAATTTCAATATAGAGTGAGGTTAAAATAAGGGTATGCAGAGAGGAGGGGCTCTTAGTCCTACTTAGGGATTCAGGGAAGAAGAGACGAAATCTTGCAGGATGAACAGAGCTAACCAGGGAACGATAGGTGGGAGGGCATTCTTGGCCCTGGGTAATGGCACAAAGATGAGGGCGGAGCTACAAGCAATGAACACGCTCGGGCCAGGAAATGGCAGAGAAAGAGGCTGGGGATGTGCAGAAGGGCTAAGAAGCGCTGACTTAGGGGCAATGAGGGAGCGCCTGAAAGGTTTAGGAAAAGTGGTCCAGTTTACACTGCACGACTAGAAGTACCATCCAGCTGCCTGGAAGGGTCAGGCTGAAGGCTCGTGGTTAGAAGGCTACCGTAAATCTTGGCAAGACTCACCAGACAAGGAGGCTGGAGAGAAAAGGCTAGCTACATCAAAGACATGTTTAGGTGGCAAAATTGCGAGAAATAACTGACTGGATATGGGGGACTGAGGGCAGATATAAAAGTGGACATAAAGGAAAGTCCACTAAAAAAAGTCTTTATCAGTCACCAAAGGGTGATGGAGAACATAGCTCTGTATATGAGTTTAACTTTTCAACTTCTCATTAACTGTGCTGAGCTGGACCCTCACCTTGTTGAACTTGAGCATGGCCAGCTGGGGTGACCCTGGGGGAGTGCGACAGAGCAGCTCGGAGGTGAAGGCGGCGTTTGCGATCTGCATGCATTCCTCCAAAGTCCTCAGGAAAGTATTGCAGGTAGATTTCAGCAGAGTTCCCACATCGATTCCCTCCTACGAAACAACCAGAGTGGAAGACTCCTTTACCTTGCCAAAAAAGAGAAAGCCCAATTGTGGAATGTCCTTGGAGGTTTCTACCCACAGCAACTTAATAATAAGGCACCCACCTATTTTGCTCAACAAATATACATGTCAGTTATGAAAGAAAAAGACTGAGTGAATCCACTTTATCTATTAACCACATATGAGCTTTAGCCTCAATCTGACCCTTCGCACTCACCCATTGCTCCAGTGGAAGGCAACAACTTCTTTCAACTCAACAGTATTTTATGCCAGCACTGTGCCTGGTGCTGGGCACAGAGCCCTCATGGAGTTTCCAGTCTATAAGGGTGGCAGACATGAACCAGGGAATCACAGGGACTGAGGACCAGTGGGGATGAAAAACTGTCTCCTATTACCTGAGTAAAAATGAGGTTCTAGAACAGAAGCGTTAGAAGCCACATACATGCATTGTTTGCTTTCAGAATGGGCTGTTTTGGCTTTCAGTACAGAGAAGTCTAAGAGGTTTCAGCAATTGGAACTCTTTTGACCATCTAATCATTTTTTTCCCCTCCATGTTATTTTACTTGTTCAGGGTGTTTTTCCTCTGGTTACTAATATTAATACGTTATTCAGGAAATTGAAGCCACATCCTGACTAGAGAGTGCAAGCCACATCTAAGTAGTGTGAAAGTAACCAGATTGGGCCCAAGATGGAGTCACTCATGCTAAGCCTCACGTCAGTAAACCATAAACTTAACTAAGTTTCTATAATGGTTTCCCCAAAAAGAAAGGCCTCAGTCCACCAATCAGCACTTGCCTGCTCAGCACAAGTGACCTGACCAGGTTCCAAAACTTCCCTTGGTTCCATGGAAGGAAAGTAACGCTGCTTTACCCAATCGGCAAATGCCTAGTATAACTGCCTTGTTCCAGTTCTCTTTGGTCTATAAAGATATCTAGCCTTGTACAGCTTTTCAGAGCTCCTTTCTATCTGCTAGTTGGGATGTTAACTGATTCATGAATCGCTGAATAAAGCAAATAAAATCTTTAAAGTTTATTCAATTGAATTTTGTTTGTTAACAGTGGCCGCCATATTTTCCTCAATTTTGTCTTTCTAACAAGCTAGCAGGTGATGTTACTGGTTGTGGACCACTAAGATTCTGTAACCAATTATGATGTGTGGTTTTCTTTCCTACACCATCAAAAAATTCTGACACCAGGTGGATGTCCTATAATTCAAATAAGCTCTGACATTATCTACCTGGAGATACCATTAACTCTCCCAGATCAAGGGCTGTCCTACAAGACTGGTCCCCATATCCCACTTCAGACATCAATGGCATCTCCAAATTGTCACCTGTGCTTCTAACTGACCAGCTATTGATAGGAGATTCCAATGACCCCCCCACCACCACTCTTGCATTTGATTAATTTGGTAGAGCAGCTCACAGAACTCAGAGAAACATTTTACTTACTAGATTGCCAGTTTATTATATAGGCACCTGCTGCATAAAAATGTTGCAGTCAATATATGATGGTGGCATATCACACAGCCTAGGTGTGCAGGAGGCTATACCATTCTAGGTTTGTGTAAGTGCTCTCTATGATGTTTGCACAATGACAAAATGACCTAACGACACATTTCTCAGAACATATCCCCGTCGTTAAATGGTGCATGACTATAAAAAAGATAAAATATCCTTCATATAGTAGCACATATACTATTAAAAGGACCAGGAACAGCGAGATAGAAGAGATGCATAGGGCAAGGCTTGTAGGAAGGGACTGGAGTGTCCATGCTGACTGTAACCACAGAACCAGCTCAGAATGATCCTATCCTGTTTCTAACAAGATGCTGAATTGCCTTTTCAGAGACAACAGACCAAATTCTTAAGTCATACAGCCAAAGAATGCACAGAGGAGAGAACTTTTGACCTCCAGCTGCACCTGGAAACAAAGTTTTGTGTCCCCCACCTGACCTCCATGGAACCAAAGGACGAGGACAGGACTGGAACTTGAACACTGGACCACTTTCAGAAGTGAAGGGTCTCCCGTGCAGGAAGATCTGGTGCTGAAGCCCCTTACAATCTTCCCATAAATGGCCAAGTTCCAAAGCTCTCCCATCAGAACCTGCACCCCAGAACTTCTGCACACCAGCCTATTCCCACTAACCTCTAACCCTCAATCGTCACCCTTAAGAACCCTTGTTTAAAAGCCATTGGGGAGTTTGGGTTTTAAGCTATAGCGTCCTGTTCTCCTTGCTTGGCGTCCTGCAAATACACGGCTTAATTTCTCCATTGCAAACGTCGAAATTTGTATTTGCTTTGCTGTGTATCGGGCAGATGGACCCTTGTTTGGTTTGGTAACACGAGAGTGTCCCTTACCCTGAATCTCCACATATTCCCCAACTCAGGAGCTCTGTGAACGTTGTCCTTGGATTTACAAAGCTTCATTACATAGGCACCACCGATTATATCAGTAGCCATTGGTGACTGAACTCAATCTTCAGCCCCTCACCCCTCCCAGAAGGTGGGGAGGTGGGACTGAAAGTTTCAACCCTCTAATCACAGGGTTGGGTCCACTGTCAATCAGCCCCCATCCTTAGAACTTTTAGATACTTTCCAAAAGTTGCCACATTAACATAACAAAAGACACTCTCACTCTGATCACAGGAAATTCCAAGGGTATTAGGGGATCTGTCAGAAATTGGTTGAAAACCAAATACATGTTTCTTATTAAAAATCAGAACATCGCAACAAAGGTTTCTTTATCAAGTTCCTAAGGCACTTACTATAAGCATTTCCTTGAATTAAAAATTGCTACGTCGATACTTTCCCTTCCCTCCAGACCTGGGCACCACTGACTGGCTAAGTTTTGAAGTGAGGGGAACAGGAGTGGCTCTTCCGTCCATTGCAGGATGTTAGGCAGCATCCTGGCCTCTACCCACTAGATGCCAATAGCACCCCCTCAAAATCCAGACACTGCCAAATGTCTCCTGAGGGGCAAAATGGCTCTGGGTTGAGAATCACTGCTCTAGACTATAAATATCCCAAGGACAGGACTGAAGTGTTTTTGGGGACCCCTCCTTGTCCCCTATCCTAGAACAGTGTCTTGTATACAACAGGCAGCTTCTGAATGAATAAGAGAGCCCAAAAGGAAGTGAATNAACAACCTTTCCAAGACAGGTGGCGGACAATTATTATATTCTGTCCAGGAACTGAATGTAAGAGAAAGCGTTTCTCTGTTATAAATTTATAATTGGTGAGAATTTGCAGGGTTACTTTGGGTTGTAGAGAGGATAAATGAGAAATGCAAATCTAAGGCTTAAGAGAGAGCTTAGGAAGTAGATAAGCAAAGCCAGTGAAGGAAAAATCAGCCCTTCACTGAGCCCAGGAAGTGACAAGCATCTCAGCTCTCTGCAAATGAGCTAAAGTAGGCAAGAATCAGGAGCCAGGAGAGGCTTGAAAGTGAATAAGCAGCAGTGAACAAATATGAAAAATAATGCGACACCATGTATATAAGTTTAAAACATGCACTACAATACTAGCTACTGTTTATGGTCACATACATATAGTAAAAGTATAAAAACATGCATTATATAATGATAAACAGCAAATTCTTGATGAAGATTTCTGGAAAATGAAAGGCATAATGGGTCCAAGAGGTGGTATATGGGTACAGTAGTGAACTATTTCGTATATTTGGTCAAGTGGCGATATGTGTTCAATGTCTGAAATATTTATAATAAAAAAACGGAGCTACTAGGAATGTACCCTTTGAATTCTTGGCAGTGAGTAAGCTTCAGGCAAATGAATGGTCTAGAGAAAAGCCATGTTAAACACCAGTGGACAGAGGTGAACCAAGAGCCCAGAGACACCCTGTGTTAACTTCAGGCACCACCGAGACGAGAACCTGTAGGGCTATACACCAATTCTGCCACTAGAGCACATGCTGTGAGCATTTCTGGGGTGCGCATGGCTTAGTTCCTGTGTTTTCAGAACAATGAGTCAAGTTATGATTTGACACTAAATATCTGATGATGAGTTTGGGCTTTCTCTCTCTCACATAGTTCTCCTTGTGCATGAAAGCCTTTCATATTAAATACACAACTGAGCATCCTTTTAAAATGTGTCCTGCTCTGTGCTAGAGATCTTGGTGGGGTTAATATTTACCTGACACTGGGGGAGTCATTCCGAGGTGAGGGATGTGGCGACATGTTACCCCACGTGTGGAGGGAACGGTGCAGAGCACGTAACATGTAGTACAATGGGGGCATGACATGCCAGAGCAACTTTTCTTCCCGCCACTTACAAGGATGCTGTGCTAAAGCTCTTTCTGATGTGGCATCTGCACATGGAGGGGCTCGGCTATAGGGAGGACCATTAAACACATCCGCCTTGTGGACCTGACTGTTTTCTTAGAATGATCTCTGGAGAACGTCATAGGATGCTAAGGGTTCAGAGCAGTTCTCGGCACGAGACCACCCAAAATATTCCTCTCTAACCATCGTTATGGAGAATCCAACTGATGGCTCAAACGCAGGCAGCATAAAGTTCAAGGCCTCCTTCCAGACGCTGGGAACTCATTCTAGGTCACAGAGCAGTGGCAACACAATGGCTACCCACGCATTTTCCAGAGTGTTAACTGATGCCAAGGCTTCCATCGTGTCCTTTAGGACTTTTCCATGTCATTGCCCATTTCCATGGCCAGTAAGATTATACAAGGTTTTACAAACATTTAC